CAGTGTTGCATTCATGTCAATTGTATTTATCAGTTATCACTATTTATTTGTGAATTGTCAAACCACAATATAGCCGAAAAGTTTATGTATAGATTATAAATACTTGTATTAAAAATAAAATACATGGACAAATATCAGGAATCATATTATATAAAATTAATAATATTTTTTTTAAATTAAACTAAGAATACGGTCAAGGTAATCTTCGCAATCGTAAAAAATAATCCAAATCAAAGTCAAGTTTAAAAAAATAACGCAAATCAAATAACAAGGACAACCAAATTATGAGGGTAGTTTTAAATTTCAATAAATAAACTGTCAATAATAAAAAGACAACATTTTGTGTATTAAGAAGTCGTACTTAAGAAATCTGATAAAATTTTGTGGAATACAATTAAATTAAAAATATGGAGATAAATTGTAACAATGCATTCTTAGTGGCAGTTAAAGTCTCTTTTGGTATGTTAATGCTACTGTACTATTATTTTAGAAATTGGATTTTGTTATTATTTTTTGCAAGCATACAAGTTTAGGTGAATTAAAGAACTTGAAAGTTTTTAAACAATATATTATATACACATATTTACGCTGAAATTGCATTATACTGAATAATTAATTTGCTTTGTTCGTGTTTTCAGAAATTTGGCAATCATATTTTTGCTTCATTAATCTCAGCAATAGATTCAAAGAGGAATCGCATAAATTCATAGTATATTTGTTGAAAAAACCATTGTTTACAACAATGTGTTTATCCATTATAACTGGTGTTGTAACAGTCACTGTATTTTCTTCAATGTTAATATTTTCAATATCGTTCATTTTTGTGGCTCTTATTTTATTAATAGAGGGTGAGTATGTATGTTTATCATCTATTGTCAAATTATATCATATACATTGTAACATGAATTTTTATTTGAATAAATTGTTTTTTCCAGGTTTCACGATTTTTTTAATTATCAGCATTGGTGTCCACATATTATTATTTTTTGTTATAGGTACAATCTTTATTTTAGGTTTTAAAAAAATGTTTAGGGTATTAAGAATAATTTAGAATTCTACCCATTACATTTACTTCATAATCTTACTTGAAGATATAATGTATTTACTTTAAGCAATTAGTATTTCAGTGTTTTAATTGATAATCTTTCAAGTCATTTAAAATATTGGTCGTTTATTGAGTTTTACGGAATAATAGGATAAAGAGAAATAATCATTTTAAATGCATGTATTTACATTTAAATTTCACAGGAATAATTTTATATAATTTCATCTATTTAACTTCGAAGGATTTTAATTAAGCCTATGTATTTAATTTTCTTATAAAAGAAAGGAAATAAATAAAAATACGAAGACTAATTATCACGCATAGACAATCATTGCAATTTTGAGTTTGACATCCAACAGTTATGTTAACTGTCATATGTGTCTTCACCAATTGGCAACAAAGGTCTAGTGTCTACTGTCTACTGTCTTTCTTCTGCTAAAAACGATTTCGGAGATAAATCATTGAAAATTCTGTGATACTTAATTTGTGCTTAATTTTGTGAAGTGAGTTTCCTTACTGGATTTCATTATTATAATAATAATTATCTATTATTGATGCTTACACTTTATTAACGTGTATTTTGCACAAAAATTGATCAATCCTAATCTTTACTATGCTTTGGTTCGAATTTTTATACTGAGAGCCTCAATGAAGATTGTTGATATAAAAATGAACGTAAGTTTTTGTTTTCCTTATTTTGTAATTAAGCAGCAGCCCAATTTGTACATACTACAATATATGCATACCATTTTTCATTGAAATCTGTACTATATACGATCCACTATATCCACGATTTTGAAAATTGATTTCTAAAGGTCATACTTGGTATTAATATTAATGTTGTTGCTGTTTATAGTGAAAAGGTATCCATTCATGTCAATTAAAAATAATATCTGTTACAGAATATTATTTTATGGCACATCCATTGGCCCTCCAAAAAGTAACATTGTGAGTATAATTTTTTTTTTAAATTTAGAATTATGAGCAAACATGTGTTCTTAAACTTAACTATGAAGAAATTAAAATCAAATCTTTGGAATCATTTATTATAATGAATTATTTATTTAAAAAATATGATTTATTGATTAACACAATTTGTAATTATGTAATTAATCAATAAAACATGTTATCAATATTTTAATACTAATCGGCATTAAATTGAAGATATCTCATAAAAATCCATTTCACTTTATTGTACTCCACTGTGCAATTAATATTTATTGCTTTAAATTTGGTATTTAGTTAATATTGGCATAGAATTTATATAAAAGTATTACTACATTACTCTGGCATTTCTTATGTTATGTAATATCTTACACAATACATACTATTGCTTTGTTGAAAGGGATTGAAGCATTGTTAACAAGGGCACAAATCTTTTGCTGTCACCGCAACTCAGTAAGATTAAGTTTATTGAATGGAAATACAAAGAAATGCCTTGAAACTACAGTTATTAAGTTCACTACAGCATACTGATTAAAATAGACATGTTGTATTCCTTATTTCAAAACTTTTAATTACATAAATTTATGAAGTATGATGTTTTATTGACCTTGTACTCCGTAAAAGAAGTGAAATCATTCAAATTACATTCTGTTGTATGTAGTAATTAGTTTCCATAAGTTATGCCATCTAGATATATCATTAGCTAATGTCAAGGTTAGGGAGTTTACACCCGTTAAACATTTGACCTAATTATATTGATCTGTGTATCAGGGCACTTCGTCAAGCTGGCGGCCCTCCAGGATGCGTCTCGCGCGCCCTCGCTAGCTCCGCGCTCAACACGACACGTCGCTACAATAACTGGTGAGTTTTTTTTATATCTATAGATCCAAGTCTTACATTTAGTACTCCAGTATCAAATCATTAATATAAGTTGGTTACCTTCAAGTAAAATTTATTGAAATTTACATGAAGTAACTGCATTCATTACTTTGTGTGAAGTAAATTCAAAGCAAGTAGTTACTGAGATGAGTGAAAGTTACTATTCAGGATATAGTGCAAGCTGTACTTGTCTGTTTTATTATTGAATAAATTAGACCAATATAACAAAGCTGCTCGATTCGTGAGTCCGGTTTGCCTTGAATGAATTCACCGATTTTCACGCAACGAGGCATACAGCAGGTATGATTCATGTTTATTATAGAATTGTAAAATGTGCTTTATGATTTCACTTGCTTGGCCCCATCACGGCTATCTAAGGTGAATGACCCTATTTCAGAAACCCGCGAAATGTTGAATTAGCGTATTGAAGTAACTGATCAACAGTATATAATATGATAATGCATATATTCTTAACATTTTAAAGGACCCTTTCGTATAATAGCAGTTGTTTCAATTATATTTGATTATCCTGGTTGTCACACGCAATTGGCGACCTGACGCAAACGCGCGTACCATGAGTCACATGTTCACATTCAATTAGGCATGAGTTGCCATCAACTCCATAATATGCTAAGCAATACCGTTAAAATGCAGCTATCACACGTACAAAAAGATTCCTCTAGGTTGGGACCTAGGATAGACCGATTTTTATAATAAACATTTATTCTAAACGGGGCACAGTTAATCAAAAAACCTTACATTCTGTTAATTCTTATCAAAAATAACCATAAAACGTAAGGTTCGGTATTCGGTGATCGAAGAATCGAGTATTTTAAAGTTTGAATTATTTATTCTAATGCGAAGTACAAAGAGGGTTGGGTTTATGAATGGGGTAAGGATTTAGTGGATTGGCGTTGGCATTTAGCCAAAGATATTTTGGGCGGGCGGGCTGCGCGCACGCATCCCCAGTAGGCAGGCAGTATGAACGACGCGATTCCGCTAACGGCGGTCTTTTGGGTCTTACACTTATATTATGTGTGTGTTTTTGATAAAATAAACTAAGAATGCTAGACAGATTCTATTTGTTCTATAAAATCTAGTAGGTACATGCAACTCACATGATGCACAAATACAATGTTATGTAACTGATTATTTTGTTTGCATCTTGTAGACGCTGTAAAGTACAGCTGTGTTTTGTTATCTGTGTATAAAAACAATGTTTAATTCAATCTAAGCTAGTTTAAAATTAATCCCAAAAATAGTTTCGGTAAATTAGGTGGAGAGATCAAATATCACTAAGAAAACGCTTTGATAGATTTTAAAATTAGCTTTTTTATTAAATTTCCAGACATGCTATGCGATCAAAGTAATGGTGGCGAATGGCTTATATAAATACTCAATGTAAAATATAGATTATTATCCATGTAATTAAATGTTCATTTAAGTAACACGAATATAAGTATTCTATGTTGTACATTACAGGAAGTATTCAATCACGATTGCCTTAATACTTCTAAATCGGAAGTAGAACAGGTGTAGAGATATGACTCTAATCTAGATGCAAATAGGATATTACATAGATTTGTTGAATAATGTTTTAAAGTCGCTTTTGTACATTACCTAACAATGTAGGCGATGCCAAATATTGACGACATCCTTATTTTTATTAGCGTTGTGAATGAGTTCGCAAAGTCGACGACCGTACTAACGTGTGGACTGCGGCCTCGTACTAGTTCTAAATTGTTTTTCTTTAAAGTAGGATATCCGATATTGTGTATATTTTCATTAAAATATTGAATTTTATTCCAAATTGCATTAGGGATTGCGTTCAAGTAACAACTAATTAACTATTATTTCAAACGAAATATAAGAACTGATTGTTTACGAAGAATATTATTTGAGATTAGAGTAAATTTTTCTTACCCAAAGACTTAGTAACGGCGAAGTAGTTTTGCATATTGATATCGTGAATTTTGTATATTATCGGCGTTGCTGACGTTCGCCTCATTATCAGATTACACACATGATTGAGGGATAGGAGAACCTGCAGCGTCTCAGTGTACGTACACAAATTCGGTTACAAGTTTGAAGTATTCAATGTTAGGGGAAAAAAGTGTTTAGTGTTGAAATTATGAGTGAAGATTCTGCGCGGTCGCGTTCGCGGAATCGCAACGTTATATATGAAAAACGTCGGGAGTTACTTTTCGATTGGTGTAATGGTAAGTAAGAACACGAGAATATTTTAAGTGTTATTTAATAGCTAAGAAAAGAAACCGAGATTTTCTGGCACAGAGAATGCAAACATCTGTAGGTAATTTGAACACAAAAGGAAGCTAATTATGCGAATAGTGCGATACATACTTTCTTTAATATTACAATTTTATCGAAATATATTAATCATACGTTTCTTAACAATAGTGTAACATTGTCCGATAAAAAAGTATTGAAAATCCTGGTTATCTTATGGTTTGTCCGAACACCCCCCCCCTACACACCTTCTGTGTGGGGTGTCGTCCGGCTTTCAAACCGCACCAATCCCTTCCAAAAACAAGAAAGCCTCCTTAAAATCCTGGTTATCTTATTTGTTGGAAAATAATATTCTCATTGACTCAAAATAAATACGCTCCCCCATACGATTGGCTAGCTCTTTAACCTTGTTTAAATGTCTTCTACATAAAAACTTGGTTGCCTGATCGCTTGAAAGCGATAAGTCCGCCAGTTGCCCTCCTTTTCATTTAATTATGGTAATTGTATTTTACAACGACGTGTTAATAAATAAATAAACACTTCTTAACCTTATCCTATCCTGCTTAATCGTGACTTTGGTAATTTATGAATTTTCGTATTCTTTTGTATTGCATTTTCAATTGTAATTCATGAAACGTAAGCTAACGTAGCTTTTACTTTATTTTATTCATTTACTAGTAATTTTATATTTGTTAATTTGCACTTCTTGCACGTTACTCTTAGTATTTATTTTTTTCCTTACTAGGTTTGCCTGGATCCTGAGATCCTTGCCTGAGATCGCTTTTTAGCGATAGGACCGCCCGTTGCATCCCTAATAATAATTTATATTTCTTGTTTTTATTTGTTATGCAATAATGTTTTAATAAATATCAATAATCAAACAATGCGTGCATTTTGTATACAACACTAATAGTAATCATTTGTTTGTAAGATTCGAATCTTTCGCTTCGGATTTCCGTTTTGGCAATATCATTAATATATTGTAATGTTTAAATACACAGTGGCGCTTCTACTACCTTTTATGGGTGTATTAGTAATTTTTATAGTTATGTAGGTAGCCTTGTGCCTGACACACATCCGTTTTTGAGACATTCCGGTTTCCTTACAGTTTTCCCTGACCGAACGACACACTTATAGGCCGGGAGATAGTGACACAAAATAGTGGGTCATTTGTACCAGTATGGCGGTTCTTCAGGGGTCTTATTACGAAATGAAAAAAGAAAAATGATGGTCATAGCGCTGGTACCGGCGGCCTAAGCGCGTGGGCGTTAGTGGAACTCGTCGGATTAATTACGGCTTTCAAACAATTTGTTCCACAAAAATTCTAGTATTTTCCGTCACTATCACTATTTTGTGTCACTCCGTCCATCCGCACAGTCGATGTTCGAACTCATGACCGCAGGCAGGGTTTGAGCCAATACTTCTAATAAATTACTATTATAATAAATTTAGTAAAAAAATAATGTGTACAAATAAGACTCAAGAATGATAGTAGTAAATGAACGGTAGATTTTATTCATCAAGATTCAAGTCGTGTTACTGTCGGTTGTAACTGCAAAGGCTGTCTCAATAATTAACAAATATGCATAGAAGCACTTTCTCCCGCGGTTATCGTGTCGTTAATACGTTGTTCTTATTATTCTCGCGTCTATGGTTTTTGCCTGCATATTTCACATTAGAAGTACCGCAATTAGTAAATCCTAAATAATCAGAGATATATAAATATACAATTATTCTAGTAGGAGTATTAAGAATGTTTGATGACATCATTATTGTGATAGACTGAAGTCGCTCATTCAAAAAAGATTACGGACTTCTTTTCGATACAATAATTTGTGAATATTTTTGTATTTAATTGTATATAATATAGAAATAATAAATCACGAATTTTGATCAAACTTTTATTAACTCCCTCGTGGTTATTTAAACGCATGTCAATTTGAACTCTTGGTAATTTAAAATGTCCCTTGAGTTTCAAGTTATCGAGAGTCGACTGTATTTACATATTATGATGTCATGTATTACTAAGGTTATGCAGAAAAATGCAGACAGGCTCATAATGCAGGTGCATCGGCCTTAGACAATTATCGCTAATTGGTTCTCACTACTGCATTTACATAATGTATTTGCTTAGCTTTGCTATTTCTAATCTGTAACTTTCTTGACTATGGTATTTTGATTAGGATTATTATTTTAAAGGTTGATTAAAACCTTTGGAGTACAGCTAGTGCTACCCTCAAGAAAAAAAGGCACACACATTCTTGTAGATTACGGCTCTATCTGATGTTGCTTTAATATACAACATAGGCGCTTCTTCTCTCTATGTTTACGATATTGCTATTAAATATTACATCAAAAAAATATATTTTTTTTAACCTATTTATAATCGCATTTATAGCGAAAAAGTATATAAAGTATTGTCTAACAGGTCTTTAAGAGGTCTGAGGTTACCAGCTCCCAGCTGTAAGGATGGGGTTCAGACTTAACGTTTGACTCTGGTATGTCAAAAAACGTGTTGGATTTTGGGGTCATTGTATGCACTTGTCCACTTTGAATTTTACCCCTAGTGGCTCGTTCTTTAGGTATTTGCTAGTAGTAAGTAAATGCACGAACTTTCTCTTACGCAATACCTTGCCAAGTTACATACCTTTAAGAGAACTTTTGACTGGGATGAAATTAATTAAATATTTATTATAATGACCATATTTACTGTTAAATGTGAAACGTCGAGTCATTTTGAAATGTATATTAAACCAGGGATGGCATTCGATCATCTATTTAGCCTTCTTAAATACCGTAACTTTGCTAAGGCATTACAAGGCATGCTCCTTCCACTTGACCGTATTCAACGAACAGCGGTTCGAATAGTCAACGACCAATCACTTTCCAAGCGGCTTGATCCCGTGGCGTTGCGTAGAGATGTGGGATCACTTTGCATCTTCTACCGCATTTACCATGGAGAGTGTTCAGAAGAGTTGTTCGGATTAATACCTGTAGCTGAGTTTCATCATCGGACGTCGAGGCAGAATACGAAATTCCACCCGTATCACCTTGACGTCCATCGTTCCACAACTGAGCGTTTTTTAATGCAGTTTTTGCCGCGCACCACCACCATGTGGAACCAGCTGCCTACTGAAGTATTTCCGGGCCAACTTGACTTAGCGTCCTTCTAGAAAAGAGCGTACCAATTCTTAAAAGGCCGGCAACGCACTCGCGAGCCCTCTGGCATTAAGTGTCTATGGGCGGGGCGGTATCACTTAACATCAGGTGAGCCTCATACAAAGACGCTTTTCAAAGATTTCAAAATCATGGTAGAGGCTGCTATGTATGGATATGTAATGGTAAAGGCGCATCCTGGTTTTATATAATAATTCACACCAAATTGACAAATTGCGAGCACGATTTCATATTGTTTAGATAACAATCTATACTCACACGGTTTGTGTATGTAAATTGCAATACAAGATCTATCTACTGTAATTATATCTATGTGAAAAATAGACTAGCTAATAATATCTAGACCAGTGGTCCCCGCCTTTTTCGTTCCTTGTTTTGCCCCTTAGCTTTTCTCAAATTGTTATATTATACATAATTTTTTGTTATTAAAATTTTTTATTGTTCACTTAAGACAGTTAAATGATAAGTTATAGGAAGAACTCATTAGGAAATTCTGAACGAAACAGTAAGTAAATTTTCAAAACATAATGAAAAATTCAAATTCTGAATAATTTAAATAAATATTTTTCTATATTAATTTAGTGAGATCCTTGCGCTTGGTGCACATGGTTGGTTCCAATTTGGTTAGATTCAGTCTCACGTTGTGTTATATCCGGCCGATTTCGATTACTCCTTAACAATCAAATTTCCCCATGTGGGGCGTGGGACCCACGTTGCGAAACACTGATCTAGACAATGTAACGTACTAGTTTGTGTTCTGAAGTCGCCATATTCCGTATACTTAAGCTTCTTATTCTTCATATTAGCTTCTTTAAGGGGCCATTACGATTGGCCAAATTTTTCAATTGAATGTCAATTGAATTTTCTATTAATATTTTAAATATTTAAAAAGCCAACCTGTTCGCACATTTCTCGTTTGTGTAAGCGTATTGAGAAATTTAATTAATATTTTTCTAGACCCCTTTTTGTATGGCTGTTTTGAATTGTATGTGAGGAGTATAAATACGAAAGTGTTTGACTTCAAAATATAATAAATAATGTTCAAAGGGCAAGGTAAAAAGTGTCTTTTTTTGACATTAAAAAAGATGTAACCCTTAATTTTCAACTATCTACCACCACATCATTTTTTAAAAACTATATTATTCTAACTTTATATGGCAAAACAACGTTTGCATGGTCAACTATTTATTTACAAATGACACTCAAAAACACTATTGTTTCTATGTAGGGTGACAAAATGGTGGCATATGAAGCATATAATTTAAAAAAACATTCTAAATTCAAATTATAATATTGTTTACGCAAATTAACACGAGACAGTGATTCATAGTATAGGTTCATTCATATTAAGGGTACATCCAGCCACGCCGCGAGGTATCGATTTTGTCTGCTCTAACAACTACATACGAAGTGCCATATACGTTGATACTGCATTGCGCTCAAGTTCACTTCTCTAGTCACGACATTTACACCCGTAGCTTTCTAAATTATCTATCGAATTTCCCTTTTTCGAGAAAGTGCCATAGTTACATTCGTCCTTCACCTTTGATACGTTTCACTGATAAAAATAATCGTGTATAGTCATTTGCAAGGCCACAAATTTGGAACGTATCTACGTCCCAATGTTTAGATACTGAATCGATTTTTTTAATAGATTATATCACACCTACAGAAATAAAGTATGAAATTATGGGGAATGGGACAGAGAGAACTAAAGTAGGAGATTATGGGAATGGGACAGGCAGTAGTGTTGGTAATTGTTTTTTTTTAACAAGCAAGTTTAGTGTCTTTCAGAATATAGTTTAGCAAAAAGCTTCGCAAGTTCGTGTCACAATGTTCGTTACCATACTCCTCCGAAACGGCTCCACCGTTTGTTATGAAATTTTTATGCATATTCAGTAAGTGGGAGTGCCATGCTGTTGTCTTCGGGCTTCAGCCAAATGGGCAGGCACGACCGGGGCAGTACCACTGTCTCTCAGAAAACCGGCGTGAAGTGATGCAAAAGGTTCGCCTTCTTGTACTCGCGTTTCGTGCGGTGAGAGAGATTCCCGGAGCCCATCCCCCCCCCCACACAAGAAATATGAAGGTGCAGAAAAAACAGAATCTACCCCAGGGGGGTACCACACGCGCTCGCGGTGGAGAATCCCCTCTCTGGCGTCCACCACCGGGACACTCAGCACCCGGTGGTGGACGCACAGGCTGCCCATCGTATTCTGGGGGGGCAATTCTGCGCTCTACAAAAATAGTAATCGTCCTCGGGGCAAACGGAGCAATTATACAAAGGCACCCCCGTCCACACTCGCCGTGGACTTCACAAATGTTAGGGGCTTAATTCTAACATCAACGCTGTCCACTATCATCTAGAGACTGCGATGCCGGCCTTGCTCTTTCTTACCGAGACTCAGATATCCTCCCCGGCTGATACTTCCCACCTATCCTACCCGGGGTACAAATTGGAACATTCATTTGTGCCGCGGGCTGGAGTTTGCGTGTACGTCAGAGAGGATATCTGTTCTCGTCGCCTCGGGACGCTTGAAGGAAGGGACCTATCTAACCTCTGGCTGCGCGTAGACTGCGATGACCATCCGCGATTCTACGCATGCCTGTATAGGTCCCATAGCGGAAATACCGAAACTGACCGACTCATTGAGCACATCCAAATGGCTACAGATTCCCTGCTCGAAAGGGTTCCTACCGCTGAAATCGTGATACTTGGCGATTTTAACGCCCACCATGCCGATTGGCTCGGCTCTGAAACCACCGATCACGCGGGAAGATCCTTTCACGACTTTGCTTTAGCCTACGACCTGACACAAATGGTCCCTGCGATTACGCGAATACCAGATGTGGATGGTCATAAACCCTCTTTGTTGGACCTTCTGCTGACTTCTCATCCGGAGAACTATCAAGTCTCTGTTGACCCGCCATTGGGTTCATCAGATCATTGTGTGGTCCGGAGTACTGTGCCATCTACGCGCCCTTCACGGCCCCGCTTTATGGGTTGTCGCCGTATTTGGCACTATAAGTCAGCAGATTGGGACGGGATGCGGTCTTTCTTTGCATCCTACCCTTGGGGGCCTATGTGCTTTTCGCCGGAAGCTCCAGATTCCGTCGCCGCCTCTGTCGCCGAAGTGGTTCTGCAGGGCATGGAACTCTTTATTCCATTTTCTGCGGTGCCGATCGGTGGCAAGTCTCAGCCCTGGTTTAAACGTTCTTGCAAGGCGGCCTCGCGTCGAAAGCGAGAATGCTTTAAGGCATGGGCGGAAGCGGCGAAATCTCGTGATGCCAATACCAGCGAACTTAAAAAAGCATATAACTCAGCCTCCAGGTCCTTCAAACGGGAAATCACTAAAGCAAAGTCAGAGCACATTGCCAGATTTGGCGAGAGATTGGCCCAACTCCCATCAGGGACTCGAGCCTTCTGGTCTCTCGCCAAAGCTGTCCAAGGGAATTTTTGTCAGCCCGCCATTCCGCCACTGCACAGGGAGGATGACTCTCTGGCCCACACTGCGAAGGAGAAGGCTGACCTTTTGGGCTGTCTCTTCGCGTCTAACTCGACTTTGGATGACCGAGGGAGATCACCACCGACCATTTCGCGGTGTGATTCTTCGATGCCGGAAATCACATTCCGGCAACGTGCTGTCCGCAAAGCACTATCTTCCTTGGACATTCATAAGTCAAGCGGGCCGGATGGTATCCCCCCAATTGTGCTGCGTACTTGTGCTCCTGAGTTGGCTCCGGTCTTAACGCGCCTTTTCCGGTACCTGTACTCGCTCGGCACTGTCCCGAAGTGCTGGAAGACCGCTTTGATACATCCGATCCCTAAAAAAGGCGATCGCTCTGATCCGTCCAACTATCGCCCAATAGCTATAACCTCCTTGTTCTCCAAAATAATGGAATCCATTGTTAATTGCCAGCTCTTGAGGTATCTAGAGGGCCACCAGCTGATTAGCGATTATCAGTACGGCTTTCGTCGTGGTCGTTCGGCTGGTGACCTTCTTGTATACCTTACACATAGATGGGCAGAGGCAATTGAGTCCAAGGGGGAGGCGCTAGCGGTTAGTTTGGACATAGCGAAAGCCTTCGATCGGGTGTGGCACAGAGCACTGCTCTCGAAGCTTCCAGCCTATGGGCTTCCCGAGAAATTACGCAATTGGATCTCCAGCTTTCTGGCCGATCGGAGCATCAAGGTCGTCATCGACGGAGCATGTTCCGACCTAAAACCCGTAAACGCTGGGGTCCCACAAGGCTGTGTTCTATCCCCGACCCTATTTCTTCTGCATATCAATGATATGTTGAAACTTAGCAACATTCATTGCTATGCGGATGACAGTACTGGGGATACTTTTTACACTGGCCGGGCAGGTATTTCTCGGGCAGTTGTTGATGAGTACCGGAACAAACTTGTGTCTGAAGTTGAAACTCTACTTCGTGGAGTCTCAGATTGGGGCAGACAAAACCTAGTCCAATTTAACCCCAAGAAGACACAAGTTTGCGCGTTTTCCGCTAAAAAAACACCCTTTGTCGCTACTCCTCTTTTCGAAAACACTCTTCTTAAAGCCACAGCCAGCATTGGAATACTTGGCGTTGACATATCGAGCGACGTTCAGTTTCGCGGTCACTTGGAGGGAAAGGCTAAATTAGCCTCCAAAAAGCTTGGTGTGCTCAGTAAGGCGAGACGGTACTTCACTCCGGGCCACCGCATGCAACTATATAAAGCGCAAATTCGGCCCCACATGGAGTACTGCTCTCACCTCTGGGCGGGGGCTCCCCAGTACCAGCTCCTTCCACTTGACCGTATACAACGCAGAGCGGTTCGAATCGTTGACGACCAATCCCTCTCCGAGCGGCTTGATCCTTTGGCGTTGCGTAGAGATGTGGGGTCACTCTGCATCTTCTACCGCATTTACCATGGAGAGTGTTCAGAGGAGTTGTTCGGATTAATACCTGCAGCTGAGTTTCATCATCGGACGTCGAGGCAGAATACGAAATTCCACCCGTATCACCTCGACGTCCGACGTTCCACAACTGAGCGTTTCTCAAGGCAGTTTTTGCCGCGCACCACCACTATGTGGAACCAGCTGCCCACTGAAGTATTCCCGAACCAATTCGACTTAGGGTCCTTCAAGAAAAGAGCGTACCAATTTTTAAAAGGCCGGCAACGCACTCGCGAGCCCTCTGGCATTGAGAGTGTCCATGGGCGGCGGTATCACTTAACATCAGGTGAGCCTCCTGCCCGTTTGCCCCCGTTCTATAAAAAAAAAAAAAAAAGTCTGAGAATCGGCTATTACCTTATCTTCTGACCTTATCACTTGGGGTTTTTTTTCAATTTAAGAAAAAAAAATTGTTTTTATTTTTTTATGATCAAAAATACATGCATCCCATAATTTTCACGACTCTACGATCAACCCCTATTTTGTTTAAGGATAGTTATTTTTATTGAACTAAAAAAATGTTTCCCAGAAATAATATACATGGCAAAACAAACGTTTGCCGGGTCAGCTAGTTTTGTATAAAATAATGGAATATATTTTTCGTTCCCAGACCTGTCCAGCGGGGAGGTGCCAGAAGTTGAGATCGTTAGCCTTCTACAAGAACACATACCAAAGTACCGCTTGAGAGCAGATAGCCTCACCCAGTTTGGAGGTATGTACCGTATATATGAGCTTGTCTACAGTTACCAGGAACTGGACTTCATCCATGTAACGTTTGTTTAACAGCCGTGCAGATTCCTCCATTATATTATCTCTGATGGTAGATAATGTATAACGAATGATGCAAAACACACAGTAACCTATTTCGTTAATTATTAAAGGTAAACTAAAATACAAACTTTTGTGGCTCGCAAACCATTCTTATAATTTATTACAATGTACTAACTTCCTTATAATAACTAATGCAGTCTAATAACACCAAAAAAAGTATTGATCGCTCTCGTTTAAACATAACGTAAATACAATTTGACAGACAGAGACAGAAGATTACTGTAACAGTGATTTGGATTGGTAAGTACAATTTGTCCCAGGGCGAGATAAATACAGGAGTCTATTTATCATTACAAGTTATGATCCAATAACTTTAGAAGCATATGGCAATAAAAAATGTATAGTAAATATAATAATTGTTAACTTCTGATTGGATACGGTGAATTTATTTGAAATTAAAAGTATACGTAAGCCCTAATCCATTTGATTCAAAAAAATATATAGTTTTAACTCAGTCATCTCATTTAAAATATAGAAAGTGAGGAAAAAGGATTTTAGTTTTTATAATAAGTACCAATTCCTAAAAGGCCGGCAAAGCACTTGCGAGCCCTTCTGCAATTTGAGTGTTTGTTTGCCCCCTGTTACATAAAAAAAGCGGGTACTTTGATGACACTGAAACGGCTGTTACTATATCTGTCATACGATGAAACAGCTAAAACATACGGCTACCTAATCGAAATCTTATGAATTCGATTAAGGAATGTGACGCGTGTTCGAATGAGTTAGACATAAAAATTCTGTGAGAATTCCTAGCAATTCTTTCTGGGGTTGTAAATTTTTATTTATGCACTTTTAATAGTATCCTGCTTAACGAATTACTTGAATGCTTTGTTATTTATAGAAGACTGATAAAGACATAATAATTACTACAACTATTAAGTAATTCGACTTAGGGTCCTTCAAGAAAAGAGCGTACCAATTCTTAAAAGGCCGGCAAAGCACTCGCGAGCCCTCTGGCATTGAGAGTGTCCATGGGCGGCGGTATCACTTAACATCAGGTGAGCCTCCTGCCCGTTTGCCCCCTGTTCTATAAAAAGAAGAAAAAAAAAGTAAGTAAATGCAGCAGCGTTGCCTAGCGGCTTTAGCAAGACTTTTATCCCTGAGATCGTAGGTTCGATCCCCGGCTGTGCACCAATGGACTTTCTTTCTATGTGCGCATTTAACATTCGCTCGAATGGAGAAGGAAAACATCGTGAGGAAACCTGCTTTCCTTAGACACAAAAAGTCGACGGCGTGTGTTAGGCACAGGAGGCTGATCACCTACTTGCCTATTAGATTGACAAAAGATCAGGAAACAGATCCAGAAATCTGTGGCCCAGACTCAAAAAGGTTGTTGCGCCACTGATTATTTATTTTATAGTTTCACTCGGAAGCTTAAAAGGTCTTTTATCTTCCTTAAATCAGTTATTAACTAATCGGCCATTACATCACAATTTTTCATTTGTACCAAACTTTAAATAGGCATTATTTAATAAGTCTTGATTTCAAATTCAAAATTCATTTAGGTAACACAATTTTACATTTACTGCCAGTTCTCAAATCAAGAGCGTAGAACGGACGAGAAGAACTGACAGTAAACTCTCCGTTACCTTTTTTTAATCGCCAAGTTTATTGTTTTACAAAATTTTTGTAAGGAGCTGCAACCATTACACCATGTTCCACATGACATCTTAAGTAATTGATAGTTAAATAATAATAAACAAAAATAAAAAACAAATATTTTTCTATATCAGCAGTAGGCATGGTGAAATAGGAGCACCCAATTAGATTCTAGTGGGAACAACACGCAAATACATAGTCGAAAATCTAAATAACTAACATTAATATACATAAATGACTGATAAAGATAAAGATGTATTATTTTATTGCAAGCGAAATATAAAACAAATTGAGGATGACATTACGAGAGAACGATTTTCCTGAATCATTATGCAAAAACTTGTAGACGACCTTGAAGCAAATGCTCGTAATCACGTAACTAGCAAAAAGTATCTGATTTACAGAGAAAAGTTCATTAAGTCATATTTGTTATTTTGTGTCGAAAATCATTTGTATTTTGATTATGTTTTTACTCCTTATTTGTCATAATCTTTCATTTTCGGTGTCAAGGCAAAATTATACCTATAAGCGTATAGTATTTTCTTAATACTTTGAAGAAGTCACTGCTCTCAACTCATTACCGGGTCTTATAAAAAAAAGTCACATGTCTCTTTATTATAAAATTATCAAAAGCCACATCGACACGATTTTTATTTGACAGCTTTTTCGAAGAAATTAATAGAATTATGTATAAAGCAAGCTGTGTTTGCCTGTTAAAGGGTGTACAATCAGTTTTTATTGTTATTTTTGCGTGGTCCCAGATGTAAGCTTCTTTTGTAACGCCCGTTGCCGAACCTTTTTTAAATAAATAAATTTACATTGGATTAAACGGCTTTAACTGTCACAATTTTAAAACGTTTTCTATGCGCCAATCGTGGTGGAATTTTCTTTGTAGTTAGGAACTTCTTACTTTAGACCATAAATTTATTAGAAATAAAAGACAAATTAGTAGCGTATACCTTTTCAAAAGCTAGAAAAACAAAGTTTCAATACATGTAATATTTATTTTTAGAAAATTAATGCATGTTTTTTTAATTAGTAACGCATTAGATAAAGCCATGAATCTATCTATGACAAGGGTTATTTATAGCTATGGTAAAATCGTTTGTTTTGTGCTTTACATTTTTTTTAATATTCTAATCCCATATATATTTCAAAGGACATCGTTCTATATAAGTAATTAAGTTTATATTATTTTGAACACGTATTAAAAAAAATATTATCGATCGGAATGCAGTATTGCATAGTATTAAAGTTTGTGAATAGTGTTCCGTGCCACTGAGTGTCGCGGTTTCCGGCGCCTGCGCTATGACGCTATAAATAATGGTGTCTCATCGCGGGAGTCATCGGCCGTTGCTACTCGACCGGTCTCATGCGTGCCATCTGTCAACCCGTTACCAAAGAATTGCAGAAGATATGCGATAATTGAACAATACATATCTAGTGGTGACATTTATTGTTGGGAAAATTCCTGTCGTTTTTATGTAGATCATTTGGTGAATAATTTTACTACAAGGTCGTATTTTTTATTTGCGTATAATAGCGCTATTTTTCAACAAAAAAATTGCAATTATTAAACAAATACATGAGTAGTTTATTTCCTAATTACTAGTTTGTCAAATATTTTTATAGGCAACATTATGGTAGGTACCCTAAACAATATTGACGGGGGCATCATTAAAAGGCAAATAGGCTGTCATTATATTCTATTTCTATTTTTAAATTACAGTAGCGCGTGATACGATTGATCTACATTTCGTGTGGGTGTATTTTTACGTCATTTATGAGTGCATTTTGTAAGCCACCTGAACCCACACAGGTGTTTCCATGAGACAGACACTTTGATAACTAAGCCTGAGCGAGATTTCTTAGAGATTACGTAATGTTATATCAAAACAGGAATGGGCTGGATAGAAGTGGTCGGAATGCTAGGTGTTATTCAGCGCTCCCCTGACGTAGTTGTCTTGTCATATTTGTTTATAAGTGTTTACAGCGTATAAAAGGTTTTATTTTAGTACTTTCTCTTAACTCTTGTTTTTTTAACTTTCATATGGAAAGTAAATGCTTATGTGTTTTATCTTAGTTATAATCAATCTGAAGTGTCGTCATTTAAATAGATTTCTAATACCTATCATTAAGTGTGTATAGATTAGTGTTTGTATCAACTGTTTCAAGTTTGCGTGAACATGGGTTACCTACGAAATTTCCAAGCTGTAATTATGAGTTTTGTATGAAGAAATACATAATTAGGACGGTGCAAATGTGCTGGATTGACTTATCTTAGTTTGTATACATTGCTTTATTTTGATATCTGAGGTTGAAATGCATTTGAGCCTACCCTGCCCCCGAAAGTAGAGTTATTTGGGTCTCGACTCATACCAAAATCTATTTATTTATTTATATATATATTTATACGTTCTAAAAGAATGTCTATGCCTAAAAAATACAAGAAAATATGACATCACTATTTTAACACACATAAACATACACATCAAATACATTAGAACATAAGCAATCTATCAAAGGAAAAAATTAAACAAACAACCACAAAAAAAAACTAAACAATGATAACCAAAACTAAATGAAAACTTAAACCTCATCAAGATCATGATAAACAAAGTTACGGTAACTTAGCAGATTGTTTTAAAACACATAGGTAATATTTTCATCGATGTTAGTAATCAAGTTGTAAGAGCGAGATAGCCTATTCACTGGACCGTTCAAAGTAGCAGATAAGCAAGCCGTAGCTACATATAGAAGACTTTTAGTTATTTTCAGAGACTAGGACCACCTCGGATAGTTCCCAACACGTCTGTATGAAAAAGGTTCTCCAGGTCGCTCCTACAATATTGGTGTTGGTAAAAGGGTTAAAATTAACACAGCTTGTCAATAAATTCCGTTTCATATGTTATGCAAGTACTTGCCACACTTACGTACAATTTGGTCCGGCTTTCTATGTTGGTATTAATATCATACCTTTTCAGGATACGAAAATCAAGACTGGTTTATACCTTCGCCGGCGTTGCCTGTCAGCCCAGAAGATCTCGCCCTCACGCCTGACCAGATCAGGGAAACGCTCAATTATTTTCGTATGTACATCTTATATTTATCTCAATTGTTAGTGTCTAATGGCACTGTTATAAGTTAAATATGCAAGGTTCTTATAATTTTAAGAGCTTTTTGTTTTCTGGTTCACTCGTTGAATATATTTTTCTATATTGTCAGAGAGAAGAGAATATTATTATATTCTGGTAATATATAGCTGGTATAGTATAGCATCACTAGATATAATTTTGTTGCTGCTATCTCAATTGATTATAATAATCATTTATTATACTATTGTAACTGTGTTATTACTTTATCTATAATTTTTGTAACTCGGTTGGTCACTCTTGGTTTCTGAATATTAAAATTGACGATTTCAATGATTATAGTTGATAAATCGTATGACAAAACATTCGGGCGTCTTTATAACATACATACATTATCCTTAAAGTGTTAAGCCAATACGATACCGTCGAAATTAAAAATAAAATATATAATACATAGGGTACAGGATATCGCTACTGCGAAATCATTCTGCGAACATATAAAAATGTCGACTGTGGCGGACATAATATATATACTTGATGATTACTATAGCAAGAAGAAGCGATATAGAAGCACGCTAGAGTTTCGCCTCTTCGTTGTAGATATCCTCAGGTGCCGCAATGCACGATTTGGTTCGCCGTTTCTTGTCATGCAAAGGAGTGGAACTCCTTGCCGCTTCCATCTTTCCTAGACAGTATAAGTTGCGTTCATTTAAGCGGTGATTAGATATATAAGTATAGTAATTACAAGAAAACTCTTAAATACTTGTATACTACCTGTACTAACATCTGGATCTCAAACTTGGGCGCCCACAAAAGCGCAGCATACAAAACTACAGGTGTGTCAAAGTTCGATGGAAAGATATATGATAGGGATGAAAAGTATAGACAAAATAAAGAATACATCTTTACGAAAACAACTAAGGTAACAGATGTTACAATAAAAATAAATAAACTAAAGTGGAAATGGGCGGGGCACATGGCAAGAGGAACAGAAAAGTAGAGCAAAAACTACTAAACTACTGCCCAAAGTACAGCAAACGAAAAAGAAGGAGACTACTCAGAAGGTGGATAGACCAAATTAAAGGAACAACAGGTGGTACATGGTAGAGAGGAATGGCGGGTTTGGAGCCTTTGCCAAAAAAGGGCACACAGATACCTATAAAAACGTTGAAATATAAACGTGTTTAAATGTAAAAGTATCTGAATTCAATGCTATTATTATAATTTAGGCGGTGATTAAACAGGCATCTCATGGAATGGAGATAGGCCACAGCTCACTTAACATCAGGTGGGATTGTGGAAAAACGTCTAGGCTTCGTTCTATATTTTTGTGCACAATCGAGGCCCGAATACTTGTCTCTAGGGTTGATATTCGCTCGTTAACTCATCACATACTTATAAATAAAAAAGGATGACTTTATAAAACGCTTGTGTAACATCCGTTTCATGTGACCGTTTCTGTCATGGTGGACAGAAATAAACACCTAATGGTGGTCTGTCTTGTCGAAGACATAATTCATTTTGACTATAAAGCACAATGTGAAATAGAATTTATATGTCTTGGTGAGTGAAATATGTCGTTTCCCATATTTTGTTTTGTAGAAGATTTTTAAGCGACATTTTATAAAGATACTTTTGCGAGCAGATCCATAAACGGAGTCAAAGAAATAGTGTTTTAAGATGGACTTGAAGGTTTAAATAGTAGCAAGTATACACGTTTTATTTATATCAAATACATATTTATTATAATAGTATAAAACGCAGATGAAGGCGTACCGGCGCAGTCGCAGAAATACTCGGTCAATACAAGATATTTATTGCCCCAGCTCAATATTATATCGATTCCTATCGCCGTTAGAATCTATTTAGATAATACCCTAGGAAGTCAATGTGGTTATTGCCTGGTTCTGAATAGCAAAGGCTTAGTAAGACGTTAAATAAATATAAGGATTTATTGATTACAATGTTTCAATAGTGCTTTATTAATAATAAAAGTAAGACCAGGTTTAAAATAAAGCTTTTTCCTTATCGAATTAATTAAATGTCTTAGTCAGAAAAACTTAATATGTCTAATAAATATGTCCGATACGACGGTCGAAGAAAAGAGCGTAGCGATTCTTAAAAGTACTTCTCTCTTCTCTCAAAGCAGAAGGAGTCTTCTGGCAGTGTGATTGTTAATGGTCGGTATCATGATGAGTGAGTAGGTGTTTCTGTTCTGCAAAGAAAACTAAAGTTCTCATCTTTCTCTTTTTATCACTGCGTAACCACAATTGGATAGAAAGAGACGAAAGAGTAATTAATCAGTTTATATGATTATTGTTACCTTGATTCTGAAGTCACAATCGTTAGCACGGTCAAACTTTCGATTTTCATAGGGAAGAACAGTTTAACAATTTTGATTTACGACTGGCCTCGATAGATCAATGAACTAGCATTATATAATGTTTGCTGTAATAATTAATTATACTATCACATTACAGGAATTCAGATTTATTAGAGCAAGCCACGCGGATATATTTTCAATACAAACCACGTGAACCACAAAATCACTTTCTATTTCAATAGTACGTAGTATTATGTATAACGTGTTTTAATTAAATTATTCCTTATTACTTCTTTATAAATAAATATATACGTCGAATTCTAAAGGTCCTCCGTCGGGTTTTTTGTGAGGTGATTATTGAAATTAACTGAACATTTTAAAAGTTAAAAAGATTTGGTCACCCGTTTTGGCTTCAGATTTTTCTTATTACTATAAAGGGCATTAGCCTTCTGTAACTGAAGACCTAACAACACACGCTGTTGGTTTTCAGTTTATAATATAGGTATTACGATTCAGAAACCAGACTTTTAGTCGGGAGTCAGACTAGAAGTCGTCGTACGTCGAATGTATTGATTTTAAGGCATACTATAACATAGTTACTGGAAGATGCGGTGGGGACTTGATTAAGTCGGTATGTCTAAATATCTGTACTGTAAGGTATTTTTCTTGACCGTATGTGCTAGTATTAGAATAATCCGTTTGTGCCCACCATGGGCTCGAACGCACAACGCCGGGGTGCGCCTAGCCACTTGTGTTAAACTTTTGAGCGTACATGAAATAATGATTATTTAGTACTCATAATTTTCGTAGTTTTAACCTTGAATCACGGTAGCGAAAGGTCGAGCTTATGATGTTTTTTGAAATGTATGGTGAGGTCAAATAGAAACCACTAAGTCAATCTATATTAACCTGACTTGGCACTGAACCAAAAACGTGTTTGGAGATAAAAATAGATCCTTTTAGGCGAGAGAAAATGTATGAAAATAATTTCCCCGCTTTTATAGACTTAGATAGAAAAATTATATTGCAAAGCCTCGAGATGCATCAGTTTTTAATAGGTATTGTTACCTTCCTTGGGTTGATTGACTCCGAATTGTAGATAAATACGTTCATGGCGGTCAATATCAAGTACTTATACATTTCTTAGTTTTTTGTAAATTTCGCTACAAGTGCGGAATAATATATAAAGGCGTTATATTTCTTAACAAAATTTTTGGTACGGAAGCCTAAATATATTTTGTATCTTTCATAATTAAAATCGTACACTGTTCTTGAGTCGTGGATTCGGTCCACATACGTAAAATATAAAAAATTCAGCCGTGCGTAACAGACCGCTAGTTGATTATAAATACAAAAAAAGATTCCGTTTTCAATTATTTATACCTAACCTTTTTTCCATGCTGTGGCTGTACAACCTTCATGGGTAAGATTCAGGGTCGATATAGCGCGAGCTATGACATCCGATTGTCAAAATGCATTTTTTTTTATTTAAAACCATGCCGCCCATAGACACATTGGCAGAGGGCTCGCAAGTGCGTTGCGGGCGTTTTATAAATAATTAAAAAACAGTAA